GTCCAATCCTGTTTTAATACAAGCCTCAGTAAAGCGCAATAATATACAGTGCTATAGGCGTGTATTTTTCTTTCATTCATCTTTTCTGGTGACTGAACTTAAGCTGACCCCAAGTTCGGTAGCGCTGATTCAGTATGGCAAACTAAATAAAGTCTCCCTTGACCTCGGCCGGCCAAACGTCTAAAGGCAAAAATCCAGCACCATCGGGGCGACTCGGCGGTGTCACATGGGATCTTGCCTCTTCGCAGCGGGGCAGACTAGTAGGGAGGTTTCCTCCTGAAGATAAAAGATCCCGGCCACTTGCATGACTTTCAACGCAACGGAAGAAACGCAATAACATGATTACTTGTTGCCGATAATGGATATGAGGCCTTGGTGGTGGTCAAAACCACTGCCGATGATTTTAGCTACGCGGCCCTGAGAAAGCTGCTCGTAGGCGACCGTTTCGTCCACGCTACGTCCCTTGGCGATGGGGGAGGTAACGCAACACCTTTCCACCGGAGAGGAAGCAAAGCTGCCCAAGACCTAAGGAGAGTGGACCGCGAACACTTTAAATGCAGCGTTTTCTAAGCCAGGGGGGAGGTTCCTGGCGTGCTTCCGCATGGTCTGGTTGCGGGGAGAAACGGCGTCGGTCCGTGTGGGAATGTGCCGGAGGGGTACATCTCCCTTGTGAAGTTATTAGAAATATCGAGAAAGGAATACATTGCGTATTTCCGTTATAAGAAGTATTTATATATATTAAATAAGAGATGAATTTCTCCATACTGATAACCGTACGTAACAACAGGGATACACATAGGAATCATAAAAATGGGGCAAATTAAAAATTGTAGTACAATATCTGTGAACATGGAGAAATGTCAAATGTTTACCCAGTAATCTGTCAATCAGAAGTATATAAGAGTGTAACAGCTCTGAAATTTGGGGGAAGTTTATTTTAATACCTTTTAATACTTTTCTGGAAAAGCATGGCATTTTAAAGGTATTTTTAAAAACTTTTTTGTTGTTGTTTGCCTGTGTGTGTGAGTGTGTGTGTGTGTTTGTGTGTGTGAGTGTGTCTACTTTTTAGCAAACGTGAACAATGCTTCATTTCATTTGAATTTCAGGAAGTGTTTCACAATCGAGATTCAAGACTTAACCCCGAAAAGCAAACGAGATTTTAGTCTAAGCTAAATAAAAGCATGTCAAATATTTAGCTTTGAAATGGTCCAACCTGACTCCAGGAAACAGACGAAGACAGGCCGTGTTGCTGAACAAACATCAGACTTTCTGCCGTCTCCCCATTTTTCTTTTAGCAGATAGCTTTGTGTCGCAATCATACCCCTTGATCGGTCAGTTAGCGTTCGGAAATTCCCAAAACTATTCGAAATGTATTTTAGTAAAAAAGAAAGAAAAAGCAAAGACAGGGTGGATTTGAGACCCCGGGTAATAGCTGTACGGAACGAATTTCCAGATACCAAGACTCCTTTAGGCGGCTCTTTTTATTTTACAAGCCGTTATATTCTAGTAGGTTAAACTATTGTAGGTAAAATTTCCCGAATAATTTTCCCGAGAGTCCTCGACACCCTCAATTTCTGCAATGTTCTTCCCTCACGCTGATCAGTGTGACAGCACGGGAATGAATCTAAGGATCTTCCAAATGATTGCTCTTTTGGCACCAACAACTGAAGTGAATGGAGTGTAAGTATTGCTTTTATCCATTAAATTCCACCAAAAACTATTTTAACTCCCCCCACCCCCCATTAGTCTTGAACCCGAGGAATCTGTCCTCGCTGCCTCCCCGGGCTACGTATCTGGTCACTGGCACTGCCCCCCTCCACACGAAAATAAAAATGCCAGCAGCCCCCCAGCCGGAGGATTTTGTCTGAAAGAAACACTGGTCCCAAAGACAAAAATCTTTGAAATTAACAATGTAGCTCTCTCGGTCTCGGTGTCAAGTTGTTCAAAACCATTGTTAATAAACCTGATTGGCTAAGACGACGGATATAGGTGCTTGGAAGTGCATTAGGTGGGGCAATGAAGAGCAAAAGGCGGAGGCCACATACATAACATGATTTAGCAAGCCAATAAAGTATGTTTATCGGAAAAAACGATAAGGTTGGGGCAGAGGCGTAGCTATAGTGCCTGGCGCCCGGGGAAATTATTCATTTTAAAGCGCCTCCCTTTCTTTTTTCAACTCTCAAACCCATTATTTTCATCAATAAAATAATATCAAAGCTTATTTTGTCACCCTACCTAGTCTGACGCCCAGAAACATCGCTGCCCCCTCCCCCTTTTCCACGTATCTAGGTTGGGGCTTCTCTCCTATCTCTTCCTTTAAGATTTAGGTATTTTCCTTATAGCAAAATGATGTAGCGTGAACAACGTTTTCTAAATGAAGCCATGCGAGAAAGTAGACCTGTGTATGAGCCGGCATCGCTTAAGTTACAATTCTTTATAAAATTGGCATTTAAATAGTAAGCCTTACCTAGTGTCGCTAACGGGGGGGGGGGGGGGGGGGTAAAAATCAAATGGCCTAAATTTCATAGTCTTCTTGTCGGTTTTTCCCGAGTGGCTGTGTCAGCACGCTGGAGTCCTACCAGGAAGTTTTTTTGTGGTCTCTCGCTTTCAGGGTGATTTAGCCAGACATGGGACAGGTTAAGTCTAAGAAACTTTATTTATGCAAACTTCAAGACTACGATGCAGTGCAGTTATGTTAACTTAAAGTGATAGTACGACATTTGACAAGTTATACTTTGTTAGCAGAGTAGGTCTGAGTCTATTTTCTGGAGTTAGGTCAGTCCATTTTAAAATAATATTATTCAGATATTTTAACATCACATTTCAATTTCTTTCTAGATTTTCTTCTTTTTGCTTATTTGTAACAATTTTGTGAACATTATTTGACACTAGCATTTCCTAAAATTTTTAATTTGCATTTTTCTTAATTTTGTGCTCAAGTAAAATTGTTAAAATGTTTTTTATGCAACTGTTGATTTTCAAGGGTTTATATTTAACCGCTATTTAACCCTGCTTCTCTAGTGCTACCTGTAACTAAAATAAATATGTAACCAGTGTTACAGTTTTGGCTTGATTACCTTCCAGTACCTCTTAATTATTACTACGATGAGCTGCTATGAAGCACTGGATAAATCCAGAGGTTTTCAATCACCATAAAACTTTTATTTACGTTGACATGTAGATTGACAATATAAAATAAGATATCCAATATAGTAAAACAATCGTCATGATCTCACATGCTTCATAATCTAAAAAGATGAACGGTAGTCGTTCCGATTCAGTATGATGTAACTTAAATCAACGCAAGGGCAAATTCACGATACAAGCACATATTTCTTCATGTTTAATCTCTGTCTCCACTTCCTTCCCACCTCTCTGCGCATGACGTTCAAAACTTCCATCTTAATACTAAAACTAACGAACAATCTATCCTTATACATGTAATATGGAACTGTTAAACGCTATATTCAACTATTGCAAGCTAGCTGGTCCACATTCAACTGGTGATATTCAAATGCTGTTATACAACTGATGATATGCAGCAATAATTTTTATTCAACTGTTGATATTAGACTTTCCAAAAGCAATGAGACTGAAATATACAATACACAACAAATGGCCTCGAATGCTCTCGTGAGATCAAAGGCAGATGTTTTTTAAGGCAAAGGCATTTTTGAGTGGCTTTCAAAAGGGAAAAAAAAACTGAACGAGTAAATTTTACTCTTCGGCCCTCTGTCCAACATAATGTTGGACATGGACAAAATGCTGAATGCTAATTGCGCACTGTTTTGCACACCACATTATTTTATTGTGTAGTGACGTCATGTTTTTATGCTGTCTTGTCGAGTGCTCCATGTTGGTAGGACTCCATGTTGTTCTCCTACAATAAAACGTTGATCTAGCCTTGATGGTGGCCTCTGTTGTTTGATTATCTTCCTTGTGAAGTACCTTAGCAACTTAATATTGTCAATAAATAATGCATTACATTCTGACCTGAGATATAAGAAGAAGGTTTGCCAAACTTGAATTCTTAAACAGGACAAACGATTTTGATGTTTCGGCTTAGAGGCTTCATCAGAAAACAAAGAAGTAGAGCAAGTATCAGATCACAGTAAACAAAAACCTCAGAGATCTCATTTTTGTTGCCGGAAGTACGATTACAGGAAGTGAAAGAATATAGATATTGGTACTGTGAAAAATAAGGTAGAGAATCTTAACGGACCAAAATATTTAAGGATACGTAAAATCTAAAGAATAAGGAAAAAAAGAAGAAGTACAGGGAAATTGGGAAACATTAGTAAGAGAGGCCACTAGGTATGCAAAATTTAACTTCCTGACTGGAACCGAGTGTATCGAAAGGAGGTGTACGCCCCTGGAAGCATTTTGAGTTGTTTTTTTAGCATAACCTCATATAAATCGATGTGTGTGTATATGTGTGTATATAGATGTGTCTGTATATGTGTGTGTAAGGACCGCGCTTTTGGGAATTAGCCTCGGGCATAATTTAATCAAGTTACACCAATACTCGCCTCCACACCACACCCCGGTGGAATTACCAAAATCTCTTCATTTGACTTCGAGTCAACCTTTTGTTAGATATCACAACTTAAAAAAATAAAGAACCATTTTCTTCTTCACAATTCGCTTATTCACTGTCCCACTCAGCTGGCATTGTAACTTTTATTCTATTCCTTCCTTCTGTTATCGACAGACGACAGAATTTTCAAAATTCTTTCCTTTGATCAACATGTTATAACATTATTTCGCTTATAATTTGTTTCTCAAACAAACGAATGATTCGTAGTTTGTATTCAATTTTCTTTTCAATTTTATAAGTCAATTATTTTGTTCAAGTCATTAAAAAATAAAACCATAAACATCAAAGTTCTGTAACTTAAAGATTCAAATTTCACTAATAATTATTTCAAACCTTAATGAAAATGTACTTTATACAAATTACACATATATATATTTTTTAAAATATTGCTATATATTTTTTAGATCTGGGTTTTAAAATGATCCTCGCCTCGAAAATACGTAAATATGGCAGCCACGTTGGCGGAAGTACAGCTCTTATGTTGGCTTCAACACATGGTAACGTAGAAAATGTGCAACGGCTTCTGGACAAAGGAACGAATGTAAACGCTAAAGATGATTATGGCAAAACAGCCTTAATGATGTCAGCATGCCATAGACATATCAAAGTTGTTAAATTACTAATAGACAGAGGAGCAGACATACACGATAAAGACAATAGCGGTAAGACTGTTTTGATGTTTGCAGTAGAGAAAGAGCATAGAAGTATATTTGAGCTTCTGGTAGAGAAAGGGGCACATATAAATGAAACTGATTCCAATGGGGTCACTGTTCTTATGCTAGCAGGACGTAAAGGGTTAACTCGCATGGTTGAATCCCTAATTTCAAAAGGAGCAGGCATCAACACGCAGAACAAAAACGGATATTCAGCTGCAATGCTAGCCATTGAGAATAATCACACAGCTGTCACCAGACTTTTGATGGACAGGGGAGCAAGTCTAAACCAAACAACCACTGACGGGAAAACATCTTTAATGCTCGCTGCTCAGAGCAGGTGCACAGAGCTTATTGAATTGTTGGCGAAAGGAGAAAGTTTAAATCTTAAGGATGACTATGGGCATACTGCCCTTATGATAGCAGCACGGGATGGACATTTAGATATTGCAAAATTGTTGGTAGAAAAAGAAGCGAAGTTGAACCTGAGAGATAACAACGGCTATACAGCTCTAATGTTTGCTGTCATCCATGGCCAAGAAGCTGTTGCTGAGTTTCTTGTTGATAAAGGAGCTAATTTACAGAAACAAACTAACGATAAAAAGACTCTGTTGATGTTGGCTTCGGGTAATGGACAGAAATGTATTGTTGAACTGCTTCTGACAAGAGGAATAAAGGTTTGTGATAAAGCTGACGATGGCACAATAGCTGTTATGTGTGCCGCATTGGGTGGGCATTTAGACATCGTTGAGATGTTAGTAGATGAGGGAGCAAACATAAATGACAAGAAGTGTGATGGACAGAGTGCTCTGATGTTGGCAGTAATGCGAGGCCGTGAAGAAGTTGCTAAATTTCTTATTCAGAATGGTGCTAATGTGGTAGAGAAGCGAGGTGATGGCAAAACGAGTCTAATGATAGCTTCAGAGTATGGTAGCACAGAACTGGTACAAACTCTTTTAGAGCGCAATGTAAATGTTAATGACACAGGAAAAAATGCAAGGACGGCTTTAATGTTTGCAGCATTCTCAGGCCGCACTGAAATCGTTGAACGACTATTACAAAATGGCGCCAATGTGAATGCAAGAAAGGCTAACGGAAGGACTTCGCTGTTTTTCGCTGCTGAAAATGGACATGCGAAAACTGTTCAATTGCTTATCACACGGGGAGCTAAAATCAATGAAAAGGATTACAATGGATTTACCGCACTAATGTTGGCATCAAGAAATGGACATGAAGACATTGTTTTGCTGTTGGTTAATGAGACTACAGTAAATCAAGAGAATAAATTAGGAAGAACAGCATTTATTTATGCCGCTTTGAGAGGACACATGTGCATAGTTCAACTGCTGATAGATAACTCTGCTGATATCTTTAAACAAGATAAATTCAAAAGATCTGCGCTCATATTTGCAGTACTGACAGGGTCTCTTGATACTGTAAGACTGCTCATAGATAAGGGAGCAGATGTTAACGAAAAAGAAATAACTGATCTGACACCCCTCATGATTGCTGCACAGAGAGGTCACAAGGATGTCATTGAAATACTTTTGGGGAAAAAAGCTAAAATAAATGAAAAAGACATGTATGGCAAGTCTGCAGTTATTTTCGCGACATTGAATGGACACCTAGACATTGTTCAAATGTTGGTTGAGAATGGAGCTAAATTGGAAGAGATACGTGGAATGCCAAAACACCTTTGATTATAGCATCTGAAAATGGATTTAAAGACATCTCAGCATACCTAATTCACAAAGGAGCATTACTGAATGAAAAAGATAGTAATGGAATGAGCAGCCTAATGCTTGCCACAGTCTATGGACACACGGATGTAGTCAAGTTGCTAATAGAAAACAAAGCAGATCCCAACGAGAGGAATCGGAATGGAAAGACTGCACTTATGATGGCCGCATCGTGTGGACACGCAAATGTCATAGACATTCTTATTGACAATGGAGCAGACGTTCACGCGAGAGACAAGGGCGGAGCGACGGCATTAATGTTCGCTGCCGGGAATGGTAAACAAAAATCTGTTGAAAAACTTTTAGAAAGAGGATCTCGGTTAAGTGAGAAAGAACTTAATGGCGCGACCGCGCTCAATTTTGCCGAACAAGCCGGACATGCAGAGATGGTTAACTTTCTTAAAAATCATGGAAGAAATATAAAAGATAAAACGAGGAATGGAAAGTCGGCTGATGCCAGTGCGTATACATGTAGAGAAACAAGCAAGGCACTGGTCGAAAGGAGGGCCACTGTGGAAGACAAAACCCCCGGAGGAAAGAGTCCTTCAATGTTGGCCAGAGAATCACAAGCTCAAGCGTCCGTTCAAGTGAACAGAGAAAAAGAGACAACTGACTTTCAAAGTTCAAGTAAAAAATCATCAAATTTGAATCAAACAGAAAAGCCTGATGACTCTGTCATAGGGGCCAACACAAGCAGCTTTATTTCACAAATATTTCAGAAATTTAATTATAATTGGTAAGTGTTAAGTATTTTTATTTCTTTTTCTTATTTTATTCTCATGCGCAACCAGAGAAAAAAAAACATAACACTTTTAGTTAATAGGCTAATGTGTCTCAAAAGTCCTCAAAGAGAAGTTATGGGTCTTCATATGAACTATTTCTAATTTTAATTTCGAATGTGAACCAATTGAATAGAATTTTGGTTTTTGACAGGAGAAGAAAGAGTCGAGGACTAGCTGATAAAAAAGACAAAAAGGAATCAAGGTTCGAAGTTCCCTCAGAAGTTTCCAATCCGACATCAGGAAACCACAGACGCGCTCGTTCAGATGGTTGTTTTTTAAATACTGCTTTGGAGTTTCCTGAGATACTCAAAAAAGCAAACAGTGAAATATTGTAAGTAGCAAAAATGGAATCAGTCCAACCATAATTATTTAGCAATGTAATTCTCTTAAATTAACTAGAAGTTTTCATACTTAGCTTGTGTGATATAGTTTTATGCATCAGAGAATTAAATCAGATAAAATACAGTCTCTAATTAAAAGAAATTTTATTTCCAACAGAATCAAAAAAGTTTGTATAAAAAATGCAAGGGAATTTAGGGAAATGACTTTTTTTTGTTTTTTTGTTTTTGTCTTTAGTACAATTCATCCTTGATCATGACTAGCAGATATGACCCGGTATTACCCGTGAGAAAAATGAAAGGCGTATTTGGCTACTTGCTAAATGCAAATGCGTAGTCTCAAAATTTCCGTAATTTTTTAAAAACTTATGTAACTTTATCGGGTTTTGGGATATTGTATGCTCAAAAAAGAAAAAAAAATGTCCACGCCCTGTACATGTATATTTCTTAAATAGTCAAACAGATTTCCGTTTTTAAAATTTAATCACGATACTTTTTAAAATGTATTTAAGAAAAACAACAACAACAAGTATCTTTGTATAGATGTGAACATTTTTAAAATCATCGTGTTTCATCATCTATACAATATAGGCCCACCCAACATTTTTACTGCCCCTGAACTACAGAGAAAATAATTTTGTTAAAATTTTTTTGAAAATTTATAATGATAATACTTAAAATTTAAAGATGACTTATTCTTGCATAAAAGCAGATACTTTTTATTTAAATTAATACGATTTCCGTAAAATTATACAAAATAGCTATAAATATTTTAAGAATCCAATAATAATGCTGACATTAGCTTATTCTTAAATATTAGAATGTATGACCCTGTGTTACCAGAATGATAATGGTAGGCATGTTGCGCTACTTTCTACCTGCTTTTGCCCAGTCTCAACATTATGAGATTCCAGTTTTTAATGGAAGTAACTGAATCGCGTTTTGATTTATTTTATCCTCGGGAAAAAAAAAAATATTTAAAAAGAAATTTTAAAAAGATGAATTCAACCAGTGTTTCTTTCAGAAATCCCCCCCACCCCCGGGGGCACTTCAGATTTTCGGGGGTGGTGACGTGCCAGTTGCCAGTGGCCAAAGGGGTAGCTAAGGGGTGGCAGATAGGACACACGTCCCGGGGGCTCTAGACTAGCGGGGCCGAAAATGGGCTTGGATTGTATTAATTGGTTGTAAATAATTGGTTTCAGATTTGGAGGGGAACTTAAAAATGAATCTTGTCCCCTGAAGACAAACACTGTAGATACGCCCCTGCTAGTGGCGTCGACATAAGACGGATAGGGCGGTCCACTTAGGTGTCACTTTTTAAAATGTATATGAAAATGTTTTATTTTTGGACAACTGCACAGTTTGATCCGTGAAAGGGAGGACGGCAAAAATATTTGGCCGCTCATCGCAGTCCTAATAGTAGCTACGCCACTGGGCAGTGTATCTATCGATACCAACATCGGCGATCATTTTCATCGGGAAGTAGGGCGGAAATCGATGGCGCCGATGAATCTTGATCGGTGGAGGGGTTTGGGGAGCTTGCCCACAGAAAATATTTAATTATTTCAAAATCAAGCGTTGTATTTTTGAGTATACTTGAATTTGATGTTTCTATTAAATCATTTGAACAGGGAAGAATATTTTTAAGGTTTTGTGGAAGGTATTGTTTAGCCCAGTTCCATATATAAACTGAATTCACTCCGTTTGTGGCATGCCCCAGGGTAATCATAGGGCACACGCTTATAATCAACCCCATACTATACCATTGACGAGCGAGAGGGAAGGGGTGCATAATTTATGGTGCAAAAGACATTCGTACAAACTCAAAAATGCAAGGGTGCATTATTTTGGCGCATACTTGAATTTGTTGTTTCTTTCAGACAATTTTGAGGTGGCAGTTCAAACTTTAGGGTGGGAAGCGCCAAAATTAACCATAATAATGAAAAAAGACATCTTAAATTCCGCACCAGCGGGACGTTAACTAATTTCACACCAGTTGCGTCACTCTTGAGAGTACGCTTTTGTCCTAGATCAGGGGTGGGCAAACTACGGCCCGCGGGCCACATACGGCCCGGCAACTGATATTATGTGGCCCTCGAACGCATTTAGAAATTTTAAAAATTCTTACTTTGTTTTTAAGTTATTTTGTTGAATTTTACAGAATTCCATGTACCATCATGATTGTTTTAAAAAAAACAAACTTACTCATTTATAATTCGAATGCTTAGAATAACTTTTCTAAATATGTCGTAATTTTTCCAGAGTCAAAAAAAAAAAAAAAAGAAAAAGAACTTATTTATTATTAAGGTCTATAGATTATTATGGGTTTTGAAAACTGGTCATTTTTATGAAATATTTTCAGAAGAGTTGAGTTGTTTACAGAAGACATTACATTGATTAATGTGTGGTTGTATCTAAGGGAAATCGTTTGCAAATAAAGTATACATTTCCCAATATTCAGTAAAGTGACATTTTTATTTGAAATTTCAAATTACTATAAATTTCTTAAATTGCCTCTTCGCTATACTTTAAAATATTTTAACTAAATCCACAGAATCTATTTTAAATTGACGAATTAGGAATAAGACATTTCTTCTAAAACACGTACCAGACAATGGAATTGGCACTGTGTTAGCTTTCTACTGGATTCTCATCTAAAATAAAATTAATAACGATAAAAAAAGGGAGTGCAATGCCAATAGATGGGGCAGTGTGTTTATTATTTTGCCATTAATAAGAGAAAAGCAGTTGGGAAGTTAATTAAATAAAATATGCAGATAAATGCGAACGGGAAGTAATACTTTATCTCATAAACGGAAATTTTCGAAGCATTGAGATATGTATAATCCAACAATGTAAGCTTCTAAGAAGATTAGCCTTAAATATACGGATCATCAAATATATCGAGCGTAGTGATATTTCATAAATTCAACTAGTTGTAATCGGTTAATTGCAATAGTTTTTTAATTCTTTTTTAAAATTACAATTTAGTACTTTTTTAAAATAAAATATATTTTGTTTTATGTAAACATTTTTGCTCGGGGGGAGGGGGGCATTAGACTTTCCACGCGGTGGCATGCCCCCCACCCCCAAGATATAGCTAAAAGAAACCATGTAATCAACGCCCTGAACAAAAAATCGATCAAAACTATTGCTTATATTAAAAGAAGAATCTCTAAATCAATTTTTGCGTCTGTAACACTCTTGTGTTTTTAAACTACCATTCTAAATCTCATTTTTTAAAAATGTCCCATGTCCCTTAAATGCATTTTTTTTTTTTGCGCAAAATATAAAAACAAATATTTCCATAATTTTTACTCTTCTTACCTGTATTTAGCGGGAAATGGAAAAAAAATGTGTATTTATTAATTTTGAAGATTAAATTTTCACATCTATAAAATGATTGCGTTTTTAGATAATGTCCCTAATTTCATTCGCTTATATTTTAAATATATTTTCAAGAAATCTTTATACATATTATTTTAATAAAAACATAAAGCTATCCTAATAAATGTGTGCCAATCCCTTATCCTCACCCCTTACTTCTATATTTGGAAAAAGGAACAATGTTCTTATTTTAAAAATAAATCTTATCCACATGTGGCAGTGTATGCCCCGTTACGCTATTAGTACGAAAACCACGTTTAGCTCGCCGCGCGCTGCGTAGGAAATCAGGTATCCCTTTCCCCTCCCCCCCCCACCCGGACGGTCGCTATACGGCGGCTTCTCTCACGCACCTCCCCCCCCACCCGGACGGTCACTATACGGCCGGCTTCTCTCACGCACCTCCCCCCCCACCCGGACGGTCACTATACGGCCGGCTTCTCTC